GGGTGGGGGGGTCGAGGGTAGGGGGGAGGGTGATCGAGGATCGGGATGAAAAAATAAAAACTTGAAGTTGAATTTTTAATACTTTTTTGGGAAGGGGTGGGGTAAAAAAAATTGAATTTAAAAAAAACCTTTAAATTTTTTATTTTTTTTGGGGTGGTTGGGGGGCTGGTTTGAGGGTAGGGACAAAATAAATTGATTTTTTCAACAAAAAAATAATTGTAATTTGAAGTTGGAAGAGAGTTTTGGAAAATGTTTTCCTTGAGTTTTGAAGGGAAGTCATTTTCCTTAAATTTGAGAAAAATGAGTTGATTTGGAAAACATTTTTCCAAAACATTTAATCCAACCAAACATGAGAAAATTGGAAAATATTTTCCGAAAAATGTTTTCCTTCATACCAAACACACCCATAATGTAAAATGATAATAATAATAACGGAAAAGGGTCAAAAAATACTCTTAAACTATTCGAAATAGCTCATATTTACCCTTAAATTATATTTCGGTTCAAAACTATCCTTCCCGTCAAACTATTGGATCAAAAGTACCCTTCTTACTAACGGAAGTTGTTAAATGCCATGTACATCCACATGGCATGCCAATACTAATTACTCTTTTTTTCCTACTGCCACATAGACTAAATCCCTAAATCTTAATTACTCTTTTTCCCCTCATTTCATTATTTTCCATAAACGATTTCACCCCTTTTCCCTGTTTCGCGGCTAGGTTTCACAGCTTCTCCCTAATAAACCTAGCCGCAAAACGAGGGAGAAGTTGTAAAACCTAGCTGCAAAATGAGGGAGAAGGAGTGAAATCGTTTATGGAAAATAATGAAATGAGGGGGAAAAAGAGTAATTCAGATTTAGGGATTTAGTCTATGTGGCAGTGGAAAAAAAGAGTAATTAGTATTGGCATGTCATGTGGCATCCACATGGCATTTAACAACTTCCGTTAATAAGAAGGGTACTTTTGACCTAATAGTTTGACGGGAAGGGTATGTAGTTTTGAGCCAAAATATAGCTTAAGGGTATATATGAGCTATTTCGGATAGTTTAAGGGTATTTTTGACCCTTTTCCGTGATAATAATAATAACGGAAAAGTGCATAAAGTAGCTTTCAGTCATGCGAATTGGTACAAAATTATCTTTTATCTATTTATTCAGGTATAAAATGTCCTTGACGTCAATCTTTTGGTTTTTTTTTTGCCCTTATCTTTAACGGTCTAATTAAATGATAACCTCAATTAACAAATTCATTACAATCTTGTTGATTATCCTAGCAATTAATTGAGTTAATTAAAAATATCACAAAACATCCACCTGCTCCAATTTTTTTTATTTTGAACGAGATACAATCAATAAAATTTGTACGAGGACCCACTTGCTTTTAGACATTGTGGGGCTCAAATTGTCATTTAAAGCATTAAATGAAACGAGAGAATGTAAAGTTTGTGTGGAAATTGAAAGAAAAAAGTATATATTATAAGATAAAATAATATTATTTGTATACACTCTAGTCTCTTTAAACCCGTGTTATTTTAAAAAATGGTTCTATAATATAAGATAAAATAAGATTGTGTATATTCTATTCTCGTTAAACTCGCGTTACTTTTAAAAATATATATTTGATATATGCACTGAGAAAAAAACTTAAAAATGTAATAAAGTGAATTTTTTTAGAAGAATCCTATGATATAACGAGCATATTATTAGAGTATTTCTTTTATCTTAACGGTGTTAGATGATTTTTTTTGTTTATCAAAGTGGCTGTTTAATTTTGAGGTGACGGGAATTCAATACACTTCAAATTTTTGTTTACCAAAGTCCTCAATTTACACCACTTGTTTTTCTTGAGACCTCAGTGCACATGTAACATGTGTTTTAATTTTTTTTTATCAGTGTTTGGTATCACATTGAATTTTATATAATAACACGTGATATGTATTACATAAATAATTTGATATATATGCATGTGCTACTTAAATATTATTTTATTTAATTGTATGTGTCAAATAACTAATAATATAAGAAAAGTTATAGCCAACGAATTTGTATTTTTAAATTCAAATTTATCCTATTTTTATATTTTTATAAAATAGTTTTATTTAAATTATATTTTATGTTTGAATCATATTTCATATTACTTTAAACAAAGTATTCAAGTTATAACTATTTATTGTGAAAAAGTATGATCAAACATAACTCCATATCCAATTTCAATTATTTTTTAAAATAAAATTTTGAAAAAATCAAACATAATACATGATAGTACTCATTGGTTGGTGGGAAACCTAATCTTCACATTAACTATGGCCAAAATGATATGTGGGGTTTATTTTTTATACGTTTTTTAAAATATAAAAATCATTAATTAGAAGATGTCTTGGTAGTTTTAAATAATAATTAATTATCTTAAACCTTTAAAATGATTAATAGTTTAAGATATTTATTTTTAAAAATTACGATAATTAATTTGAGATAAAAGAGAGAGTGAGAGAATAATATTTAAATGTGGTAGGTGGGAATACCCAATCCCCTCTCAAACATGTTATATATATGAGTAAAAAATGTATTTTTTGTATAATAAACAAGTAAAAATGAACAATAACATATTTTGTGCGAAATTTTCACATACTTGAATCTGAACAATAACATAATTTAATTTTTTACAACGTAGGGATGGTGGTAGGAGGGCATTGTGAATCTAGAACGGACCTTGTGACGGTGTCGGGTGGGCCGGGTTGATCGTAGACAACGGCGGTGGATGGCGGAGACATGGTGGTTGGGAAGTTTACGACGGAGGTTTGTTTAGGGACGACCAAATTTGAGTGACGAGAAAATATTATCCTACAAAATTTGATGTATTGTATTAAAGTGTTTTTAAGTTTTCACTTGGAAACATTTAGGGAAAATGCAGCTACTTATAATTAAAAATGATAATAATAGTAATAATACAGAAAATGATTTAAAATATCTCATAATTATGTGACTTGGTACAAAATTATCCTTTATCTATTTATTCAGGTATAAAATGCTTTCGACGTCAATTTTTTGGCTCTTTTTTGTCCTTATCTTTAACGGTCTAATTCATTAATAATCTCAATTAACAAATTCATTACAATCCTGTTGATTACCCTAACAATTAATTGAGTTAATTAAAAATATCACAAAACATCCACCTACTCCAAAAAAGATTTACTATGACGTTGTGGGGCTCAAATTGTCTTGTACTATCAAGAAAACTTGTAACTTTTAGACATTATGGGGCTCAAATTGTCATTTAAAGCATTAAATGAAACGAGAAATGTAAAAGTTTGTGTGGAAATTGAAAGAAAAAAAAAGTGTATATTATAAGATAAAATAATATTTATATACACTCTATTCTCTTCAAACTCGCGTTATTTTTAAAAATAGTTTTATATTATAAGATAAAATAAGATTGTATATATTTTATTCTCTTCAAACTCGCGTTACTTTTAAAAATAGATATTTAATATATGGACTGAGAAAAAGACTTAAACGTGTAACAAAGTGAAATTTTTTAGAAGTATCTTATGATATATATAACGAGCATATTATTAGAGTATTTCTTTTATCTTAACGGTGTTAGATGATTTTTTTGTTTATCAAAGTAGCTGTTTAATTTTGAGGTGACGGGAATCCAATACCCTCCATTTTTTGTTTACCAAAGTCCTCAATTGACACCACACTTGTTTTTCTTGAGACCTCAATGCACATGTAACATGTTGGTTTTTATTATTAGTGGTTGGTATCACATTGAAATTCGATTAAGTTCAGATTCACGTTGAAAAGTTTCATATTGAAAGGTAACTTAAATTCGAGATCTTTGGTTAAAAATAAAAAAATATTTATCACTCCACCAGAGTTTTGGTTGATGCACGTGTTATCTGAGGTTTTCAAGTTTTCTTTTAAATAAGGGGTCAGTTGAGTTGTACTATTCACTACAAGAAAGTGAAGATACAACGACATTTGAGTGCAGAAAATTATCCACCATTTAAAAAAATGTCGATAATTAATAAGCGACATTTATTTACGATAAATATAAAAATGTTACTTAATTTTTTAGACATATAAATAAATGTCAATGACATTTATTCACGACATATATAAAATGTCACTTAATAGAACTCCAACAGATTATAGCATTGTATTCTTATTTTTTTTTTACAGCTACACAGTAAGACATCTTTTAGTGATCAAATGGACAAGACTTGGTTGTATTGTGATATTTTTTTTCTTTTTCGTCTTCTTCTTATTATTAAAACAAGAAATAACATGTGATATGATTATTCAACTTGAAAAATAT